ATAAAAGCTTATATCCCCACCCCCGAAAAAGGTAAGAAGTGAGTCTTGGGAGATTGCTCAGTGGGTAAGGTACTAATTTGGAATTCCTAACACCTAAAGCTGAAAATGGTGAGGCAGGGCAAATAAGCTCACTGGCAGGCAGTTTAGTCAGAAGCACTAAGTCCAGATTCAGTGAGAAACCCAGTCTTTAAAAAGTAAGCAAAAATAAGGTGGGAAAAGGACTGAGGAAGACATCCCAGAGTTGATTTCTGGCCTCTACATGAGCCTGCATGGACTAGTGCACTCCTGTGAACACACACATAAAAACCTTTTTTAATTAACGTTACAATATACAAAGCTATATCTAAACAATCATCCATTAACCCTGAGGCACTTACTGCTAGGTCTGAAACCCAGATCATCATGACTGGATTAACCAGTAGTCTTCTAACAAAAAAAAAAAAAAAGTGAGTTCTGAGGAAGACTGAAGAGCAGGTATATGGACTGAAGAGTCAAGGATTTATAAACTGAGGAGACAGGGGAGAAGGGAAACACAATGCTGTTGTTTTAGCAAGACTAGCAAGATCAAACTGGGAGAAAAGTCTTGCAGGCCCAGCAAAGGGGTTAAGAATTACTTTGACAAGTAATTTATATCTTACTGCTTTCTATCTTCCAGGGGAAGGTGGTAAAGATTGCTTCTTTCCTGTTGCTTCAAGAGTCCAGCGCTATGTTTAACAACTCTATTTTTAAAGTTTAATCTTAAAAATACGTAGTGGGACCTTTAAAGATGTAGTTTTTATTCTAACATGTACTTCAGTGGCAGAGAACTTAACCTAGCACCTCCTTGACTCTGTGTTGGAACAAATAAAACATTAATAAAGTACTGCTTGGGGTCACACACCGATTTCACCAAACAACTGTGTATGGGGGTATGCACAGAAAGTAACCCCTTATGCAGAGGTGCATACACTTCATATTCTTCCCAAAAAGAAATTCCTTTTTATGAGTGATGAACACAATGGAGAGTGAGAACCCTTTCAGAAATAATGCTTGTGAATATTAAATGTCACTGTACAATGTAAGAAGTTACTGAACTTTAAAGCAAGATGGGGTCTTAGAAACAATCTTTCAGTGGTAATCCCTTCATGTATCAACAGGTTAACTGAAGCTCAAGAAGTACCTTGATGTCATGACTACACCTGTGGAAGACTGAATGCCAGACCTCAGATTTTCTAGGAAGCAAGATCTAAAAACTGTGCTACTCAAGACTGCATAACCAGCGACTACATTTGGCTAGAAAACTAAATGCAACTTCAAACTCAGTTTCTCACTTATATCAGAGTCATACTTCCAAGTGTTCTATAACCTACACATAGCTAATAGCTACTATATCTAACAGCATAGGGGGGGAAACCATTCCCTCATATTTGTAGATTATACTTCAATAAATCTGGGGAAAGGGAAAGTGTCTTCATCACTACAGAAAATTTAAATGGACACACTTGCTCTAAAGAATAAACTGTAAAGTCAGGTATGGTTCCAATTCCACTTGGAGGGAGACAGATGGCATAAGACAGACATAACACACATCTCACAAAGTATACTTCACGATTAAATACCCATAACCTCTCTTCCAGTGTTTCTATTTGGGAATAATGAAATAAAAGATGATTGGGAACATAATAAATATCCCTTGCATTTTATATGACTACAATGAGTTCTCATTCTAGAGGACATAAAATAAATTGTGCAGTTTCTAGACAACTGTTCTTCTATGCTGGTAAAGAACAGTCTACATTACTTCTCACTATCTGCACTGACTGAACATTACATGAAAATATAACAATATGTTCCTCCACAGTATTTTACTGCCCTCCCCACAATGCCAAAACCCAACTTCCAGAAGCTAAATCAATCTCTAAGACTTCACAGTATTTCTACTGAGCCAGTAAATTTGACATCTCTGAACTGCATACTTTAAAACTTTGTAACATGTAACAATCCAGAAAAATAACAAAACTCAGCTCAGTTGTACACCAGTACATCTCTATCAATAAGCAAATGTCATTTGTGAGCAACTATTTTATTTAGCTACATCAAGTCACAAAGACTTGCATTCTTAACAAGTTCACCAATTTTGCATTCCTAATATGAAGAATTCAAAGAGTCCTTTAAACCATTTGCCCTTAAACAACTACCAAACATCTGTCTACCCCTTTTTTTCTTTCGTTTTTTTTTTTTTTGGTAAGACTTTTTTGCTTTTTGCAGATTAGTGGTGCATACCTTTAATCCCAGAACACAGAGGCAGAGGCAGGTGGAGGCAGGAGTTCAAAGCCAGCCTACTCTACAAAGAAAGTTCCAGGACAGCCAGAACTGCTACACAGAGAAACCCTGACTCATACAACAAAAAAATAAACAAGGAAGGAAGGAAGGAAGGAAGGAAGGAAGGAAGGAAGGAAGGAAGAAAACCCAACAACTACAAAAGGATTTCTTGCTTTTTAAAAAAAGCTAACTCTCAGAGGAGGAAAAAGTACTAGCAATAAGTCCACTTTAAATTCCCTAACTCCTATTTTGTTCCTTAAAAAAAAAAAATTTACTCAAAAAATGTAGCCACTGATCTCCCTTTCAAAGTTGAGAAAAAAGCCATAAATACTAAATGAATAACAATACAAACTGTATGTCATTTTACAACTCTATGTGCAATAGATAAAATTAAAACATCTCAAAGTATACAAACCAGAGTACTTAAGAGTCAATAGAGTTCACATTAAGTTTTCTTAAACACTGAAAAGTTCCTATTGCTATCACAGTTTTGATTGCTGTCTCACTGTATATGTTAAAAGATGGCACCTATGCCTAAACCAAAAAACTAATTTGTAGTATTCTGTAATTTTATTGAAGTTCTTAAAAAAAATGATAACCTCCACACTGGTCACAGTGGATATTCATTCCTGAGGCTGCATTCTAACTACATCCGACCCAGAAAGTATTTTTAGCAAGTGTGTTCAATAGATGCTGGTGTTATGCCTAGCCTAAATTAGAAATTAGTGTCATAAATTTAAAGCAACAATGTTACTAGGGACATTTTAAAGAAACTCAATTAGGACATGGTGGGGGAGGAGAAAACAAGACTTGACATAATTTACCCACCACCTAGAAGCTCAGATACTAGAAAGCTGAGATAAGTCACATCTGTTACTACTTTTGAGGAATCTGTGATAGTCTACCTTAACAAAGTTTAACCAACTCAATATTAAGAAAAACTATAAAGCAGTGATGCTGCCCTGTGTTAAAAAGAAAAAAAAGGTCCTTTTAGCAAACGTTTAAGGCAGATTAAGTAAATAAAAAATACTGTCATGTACACATGTATACACACACATACATACATACAAGACTGTCAATCTTACAAGTCAGGCAAGATCACAATATTATAGGGTCATCCATGCCCCTGTATCAATACAAAATACGACCAAAGAACACCACAGAAAATATGAAGAGCCACAAAAATAGCTCTTGTGGTAACTGGAGCAGAAATGTATTCTGACAACAGCCCAAAAAAAAAAAAAAAAAAAAAAAAAAAAAATGGTGTCCACAAGATTGATCTCAGATAACGAGTGAAAAAAGTGGTTCTATATTAACTCATAAGCTTTCCTTCCTTTAAATGAACATTGAATTTGAGATCCTCAAATTAGAGATGCAAATGATATATCCAGCTATAGTCTATTAAGCACACTGAATAACTGTTTTGGGCAATCCCTCCCCGTTTGGAAAACATGTTTCCCCTCTGACACACTAACGTTCACAAACCCAGGCTTTCCAGAAAGCTGTGGCATTTGCTGCTCCAGTCTTCTTTCTAGCCCAACTGTCTTTCACGAGTCAGACACACTGGCTTTTTGTTTTTGTTTTTCCTCCACAGCCATGTTTGAAATGTGACCAATGAACTGTGCTATTTCATCTGGACCCAAGATCTGATCACACACTCAGTATTTCTTGAATTGCTCATTCCAAAAGCAGCTAGTAGATATGACAGGTCCTCCTGGAACAAGCAGTTTTTTTAAACCCCACACATCGTCCTTGTACACACTGATGTCACTCTGTGATGCAAGGCCAGACTTAAAGTCTCTAGCCTAAGTTTCAAGGCAACATCCATCTGCATTATCAGTGAAATTGTAAACTGTTCCTTATTAAAGAAACCCCAGCAAATACATCCAGACATGCATTTAACTACATCTCAACTTTATTTTTGAAAATATCTGAACTGAATTGGTTTTCAGAAGTCTGTCTTGGGACAATTCAGGTGAATAGGTTTTGTAAGAACAGTTCCTGTCCATAAAAAAAATAATCCATACGCCCCATTTTTCCTGTAACTATTAGGAAACACTGCCACAGAAACAAATCTTTTAAAGCCAAAAAAGCCACAGATCACTGCGCCTACATTTACAAAAAGCAGCAAACACTCATCAGACCTTTACTACAGATTCACAATCTGAACATTAGGAAGGCAGTGAAGATTCCAAAACACCGTGAAAACCTAAGTAAAGGATTCAGATCTATATCTCAACTTTTTTGGGAACCAACTACAGATTCCTAAAATCCAGTAGATATTGGCAGAGTCACAAAAGACTTTCAAGTTTAATGGGAGGGATCGTGTGCTCATGCAATATGCAAACAACAAAAAAAATGCTTATATAAATCAATTAACGTAACAATAATAATTAAAGAAGAAGAAGAATCCTACAAACGGGATACAGATTTTAATCCAGCCTCACCTTGAGTTTAGGAGCACTGGGACATTCCATCTCGCATCTGTATCCCGTCCCTTATACCTTGCACTCATCCCTAGCAGAGGTTTCAACCCTAACCTCCAGGAAGATCCGAGGACCCGGACCCAGTAGGAAAAAGGGGAGTTTTGATCGGGTAGCTCGGGCTACCTGGCTCCGCAAGCTTCAGGTGCGCGCCCACGATCTGCAAGGGGGACCCCGGAAGGCCACGCGAAGGACCTCCCCAAGCGCCCCTCTTACCTTCGTTATCACAGCCGCGTCCTCTCGGCTGGAGCAAAAAAATAATTATAATAATAATAATAATAAAAATAATAGAAACAAAAAACAAATACAAAAAGCCAGGAGGCCCCGGGCGCGCAGGCGGGGAGGCGGAGGCGCGTGGTCCGCGTCGGGGTGCTCGCCCCTCAGCGCCCCGCGAGCAGCCGCCGCCACAGCGGCCGCGCCACGGCCGCGGGCCGCCAGCACCCCGTCATCCTGCGGGGCTGCGGCGGGGCCGGCGCGCGCGGGGAGGCGCGGCGCGCGCTCGCACCTCGCGCCGGCGAGATGAGCTAATCCGTCCACGCGCGCCCCGAAAGTGCCGCGGCTCCCCCCAACACGCGGCCCGGGCGCCGAAGAGCCGTCCCTTTCGAGCCCCGGAGCCCCGATCTCTGACAGGTCCCCGGAGCCCTGCCGAACAATGTCGCGTCGGCCGAGCAGGAAAGCGCGCGGCGCGAGGCGGCGGGCGACTCCCGGGAGGCGGCTCTGTGGGAGAGTGCAAAGGAGAGGCTCGGCCACCCTCCTCCCTCTCCTCCTCTCCTTCCTCCTCCTCCCTCGCCTCCGCCGCCTCCTCCGTCTCCTCCTCCTCCTCCTCCGCCCTCAAGCACACCCCGTCTCCTAGGCCGCAGCATAGCAACCGAACATGGCGGCTGCGCAGCCCCCGGCCACTCAGAGTCCGGGAACGGCGGCCTCAGCAACGGGAGGCGGTCTCGCGAGAGGTGAGGCCCCGCCCCCTGCCCCGCCTCCGCCTCCTTCGCTCCTCCCACCCGGCTTCGGAGTGCCCGAGCGCAGGCAGTCGCAGGTGCGAGGGAGGCGGGGCTTAGCGGCGGGGAGGGGGAGGGCGTGGCTCCGTGTCCACGCCCCCTAGCCAGGCCGGGATTGGTTCCTCGACTGTCAGCCCTGCCCCTCCTCCCTTTTCCCGTGTGTACCTAGGGACTCTAAGGGACACAAAAGAAAGCGACCCAGTGCAAAGTGGGGAAACTCGACCTCTTGGCTTCAGGGTGTCCCGAATGAAGTGCTTCTGGAGGGTACAGGGTTTGAAATGCAGTTTCCAGTCTTTTCTCCTCCTAAACAGAGCCTGTCGAAAACAAAGCCTAAGCAAAAGGCGTTCATGGGTAAAACAAAGGACGGGTGCTTTCTGTGTGCCAGGATCGCTGCTTTTTAAAATCAAGTTCGGTCATTCATATTAAAAATGAGAGTTGTTGTTAGCATGGCAGGGCCTTGAGGAGGGTGTACGCTAACGTTTTCGGGGTGATACAAACTTATTGGTGATAGGACATTCCTGTGGCCTGGGTGACCTCTGCTGAAATGAGGAAAGCGTGGGTTTGGGGTACCCTAGCCTCTTCTTTAGTTTTTTACATTTCTTTATTTTGCATATACCCAAAACGTACGTGTGTGGGTGTGGGTGTGTGTGTGTAGCTCAGAGAACAAGGTTTGAGAGTTGGTAATCCATGTCTGTTCCGGGGATTGAACCCAAGACTTAATACATGGCAGCAAATTCCTTCCTTTACCCTATGACCCATCTCGAAGGTCCTTGCTTCTTTTTTGAAGGGGGAGGCAGGTGTCAATGCCGTTTTCTGTGGCCAGGTTTCTTGTTCTTGATTTTAATCTTTATACCTCACCAGGGACTACATAAATATAAATATATATAAATATATTTATATATATTTATATTTATATATATATATATGCAGGTAGATCTCTGTGAGTTCAAGGACAGCCTGGTCTACAGGCCGGGTTTCAAAACAGCCAAGGCTACAACAATGAAACCCTGTCTTGAAAAACCAAAATAAAATAATGATGATGATGGTGATGATGATGATGATGATGATGATGATAATGATGATGATGATGAGAATGTTTCTTCAGGGGGCTGAGGGAAGAGCACTTGCATAGTACATGCACAAGGTCCTAGGTTCCATCCCCAGCACCCAACAACCACATGCTGCTAAGCTTATCTTTTCTCCATGTTACTAAAACAACTGCACCCAGGGGAAAAAAAAAAAAAAAAAAAAAAAGCCTTCACCAATCAGGAAAATGAGTGCAAAAGTGTGGAAAACAGTAATTTCTATCAACTTCTTGTTCACACTCTGCTCCTACTTTTTCTTATCCAGCAGGATTTGAACAGTTGGGCACTTGGGAGGCTGAGGCAAGAGGATCGGGTGTTCAAGAACATCCTTAGCTACACAGCAAGTCCCAGGCCAGCCTGGGCTATGTAAGACCCAGTCTCAGAGTCCGGGTGGGACAGAGACATATCAGTTCCCAGCCTGTGCTCATCCATTCATTCTTCCCTAAGAAAGTATTCTTTCCTCCGGCTGAAATGCTTCTTATCTCTCCTCTGTTGACATCCACTCATCCTTCAACAAAAGATCAAAGAGAATTCGCCAGCGTCAAACAGTAAGAAATAATTTCTTCCTTCTGTGACACAGATAGCTCTAGGTTTAGACATTCCTTTGGTGTTTTTCACGGTGTTCATTTTACTTCGCAATACTTAGGCCTGTTGTGGGTATTACTGATAGTCTGTGATCTGATCACCGCTACTACCCAAGGCAAAATCCTCTTAGTCATCTCTTTAGCCCTCACAATGCCTGGCAGGAAAAATACAAGTTGATGGAAAGAACAAAATGTTTGAATCTCTGGTGGGTAGGGATTTCAAGAAAATACCTGAATTAGGGCCTGGAAAGGTAATTCAGCCAGTAAAATGCTTGCTTGCAAGCATAAGAACCTGCGTTCAGATCCCCCAGAGCACACACACAAAGCTGGACATGTTAGCTATTCCCAGCTGTACCACCATCACCACTCACTCTACCTCAGAACTATCACTACTGATTATCACAAAAGAACCCCCATGCCTGCTGCTCATTCTCTAGTTTGTCCTCCCCAAACCTCTACCAGGCTGCAATCTATTCTCTGTCTCTATGTGTTTGCACACTCTGGATATGTCCCATAAACAGAGGAACTTGCTGAAAGGAGCTCCACAGTGGAAGTCACCTTGATGGGCCCTTTGAAGTTAGCAATACTTATTTATCATCCCTGGAGAATTCTAAGTTCACCCTAAACCTGCCTTCCTGCATCCCTGAACAAGAAGGAGCAAGTGATTGTCGAAGAGATGGAAAAGAAGAGGAGGAGGAGGATAGAGTTGCTTTACGAGCTGTGCAGCTCAGTCAGCAGAATGCTTGCCTTGCATTCATGAAACCTTGGGTTTGATCCCTAGCACAGCAAAAACAAACAAACAAACAAAAAACCCCACTCCAGGTGTGAAATCCCAGCAGTCAAGAGATGGAAGCAGGAGGATCAGAAAGTCACGGTGATTCTCAGCTACATAATGGCTTTGAGGCTAGCCTGGGCTACACAAGAACCTGTCCAAAACAGAGAAAAAAACCGTTAGACCATGCCCCCATGTGCATATTTGCTCAGTGAAGAATAAACTTGGTAATAAATTCATGCTTTTCAAATTTTAAACTGTATATTCATTGCCTGAACATCTTGTTTAAAATGCAGGTTCTAGGCACATGTGACTAAACATAATGACCTGAGTCCAGTCCCAGGAACCCACATAGTGAAAGGAAGGAAAAGACTCCAGACATAGTCATCTCACATCCACAGGCCTGACACAGCACATGTGTGCACAAACATACACACAAACACAAACACACACACACACACACACACACACACACACACACGCATTGTAAAATGCAAAAATTATTTGTAAAATGGAGGTTCTAATTCACTATATTTGGGGTGGGACCAGAGGCTCCCGGGCCCTGTAAGAACTTGGCAGACAAAATGCTCCAGTAATTGAAATTTTGATATTAAAAAGTACAGTTTTGCTCTTGTTTAAATATTATTCTTTAAAACAATGAATATATTCCAATGCCTATTCTGAACCATCTAATGATAACTTTGCAACCAAACACTGAACTTGACCTTACATCTAACCCTAGTTATAACCATAGCAGTGAGTTTCACACTCTCATCCCAACAGGCAACTCAATTTCAGGAAAACTATCTGTCACGTTACATGCATAATATTCACAGAGTTTTACATTTTTGGTTCAATTTGTATATTGCATACACTTTACACATGTAGGAACCTTGTGAATAAGGATTTTATTCCTAATTTAATACTTGCACCTAAGGTAATTAAACAGTTGGGAGTTAGCAAGACTTCTTTTCAACTTAGAACTGGCAGACATTACTGAACGTTGGCAGCCACTGCTCCTGACTGTGACATTTTCCTGTGTCTGCAGTCTGCCCTTGGCTGTGCTCTGAGAGGTTAAGAGCGAGGGCTCTGTCCACGCTTGGAGGTGGTTGGCAGGCAAGAATGACTGGGCCTTTTACACTTAGTGGCTGATGGCAGGGCTTCTCCTAGCCCCGGGTAGCTAGGCCCTGGAGGGAACAGGCCTTTGTTCTATTCTGTAGAGCCAAACCCAGCCACCGAGACCTTGGCAGTGGCTTCCTGGGACAACAGGGCAAGAGAGACCTTGACTGATTACAGCTGACTCATAAGCTACATGACCATGAAATAAATGAGCAGCCCAACTCTGCGTCACAAATTCAAGCCCTAACTTCTAAACTATAGGAGAAATTCATGGACAGGCTGAAAAACTTAGCGAGTCCCTATCTCAGAATTTAAAAAAAAAAAAAAAAGAGGACTGAGTTGCTGTGGGTAAAGGTACTTGCCAACAAGCCTGATGGCATGAGTTCTGTTCTGGAACCCACATGGTAGAAGGAAAAATTGTACCCCACAAAAAAATAAGTTTAATAAAGAACACATAGATCAGCGGTAAAAGCTTGCTTAGCATGAACAAGGCCCTAGATTTGATTTCCAGTATCAGGAGAGGCAGAGACAGTGAGATGCCTTGGGGTCAATAAGGTGACTCTCAAGAAAAATTATACTCCATTTACTAGGGGTAGCTCAAAGTACTATGAATTTTAAGTTTAAAACAATTGTTACAATGACCTAATGTTTTTCCCCTAAACTTCTGAGGTAAAGCATACAAGGTGCATGAATTCTCAAGGCTTGTAGCATATCTCACGCAGTGAAGTACTTGT